TTCGAGCAAGGGAACCTTTACCTAGGGAAGGACTGGGTTTTATATAGGAGGAAGTAGTAGAGCAAACAGGGTTGACATCTCATTGATTTTAAGATAATTGGATTGATTTTTTTTCAATAGTGCAAGCATAAGAATGTGAGCAGTTAACAGAACCAGGATGTGCTAGTAAACTGTGGCTAGGTTTAGTTTATTTCCTTTCTGCAAGAGACGACAACTTTGGCATTACGGAAACTGTGCTTTGATAAGTATGTCAAATTTCTGACCACCTGTGACATGCAAGCGTGTTTAAAACATATCATTTTTTGTAAGCCCAGTGATATTGTTTACTGTTTAAATTATGTAGCAAATCTGTGAAATGGGTAGTATCACTTTAAAAATGCCACCTTGAACCAGCAACAATTAGCCGAATGTAACTATCTTAACTGGCTGAATTATCTGAGTGACAGAAACATTGTAAAGTTATTGGAATAGCAGCCACTGATCTAGATATTCACCCCTCTTTGCTAATCTTGGCAAATAAACTTCTTCTGACTCCATAAATATTGCTGCTGTAAAAGCAATTGGAATAATTTTTTTTAATTATTGTTGTTTTTCAGTTTTCAGCATCATGGAGGCATCTTGTGTTTGTGGCTTTGCAAAATTTACAACCCTGAAGGAAATTAGTTACCCTTCATACCAGTAGGGTTTAAGTTAGTTATGACTTGCTAGCTTATTGTTTGGAATGTATATATAAAAATATATACCTCTGACAGGACCAGAATAGATAAGGAAGTCTATCTCTATCTATCTAGTACTGCTCATACGGCTGTCACCTTAAGCAGAAATCAGAACCTAAGAAAATATTTTAAAATACCTTAGTATTATTTATCTTATGTATTTGATTAGTGTGCCTATGAATATTGCCACTGAGAGGGTGACACGATTAGATAAGGAAGTCAGTAGTTGTAGTGGTGGGTGGATGTAGCCTTGGATTACATTATTTATTAATTGGGACACAGTCGCAGTGTGCAGGGCTGTTTTAAGCCAGCATTAAACTAACGTGTACAGGCTTGATGTATTGCTTGGTTCACATATGTACCTCTCCCCTTTCTTTCTCATGTGGAGAACCCTGGGTAAAAACGGATTCAGATTGTCTATGATTTAGAAATGCTGGTATTGTAGGTTAGCTGGAGTTAGTTTACCCACACACACACACACACACATACAAACCAGGATTCTAAATCAAGGTTTAATCCATGCTTAGAATTCCAGTGTGTTGAGAAAACTAATTTTGGTTAACCTGAGTTCCTGCAGTCATACATCACAGGTCACTGGAATTAACTTCTAACTAGCATTGTCCACACAGCAAGTGAGGTTCTGGACCTGGCAACAAGATGAATTAGTGCATGTTGAGTTTCAGTATTAAGTCAAATGATGTTATCTTGAGATTGTAATGATAAGAAAATGATATAATGGATGAAGTATAGCAAGGTGGAGGTGGGGGGGAAGCATTGCGGGAAGCCACAGAGGGGAAGGGAGGAAATGGGAATGGGGTAAACAATGGAAAAGTGTAAATGATTGAATGTCAAATGTTGAATTCCTATGAAAATAAAAAACTTTGCTTACCAAGAGTTCCTAAATGTAACCTTATGGGCAGCAAGCATAAAATGTATCGTTGGGCTTATTAAATTAGTCGTTACTCATAATACAGTAAGTAGGGTTTCAGTCTTAAAATAGTCTAATTTGAACTAAGTTGTTCAGTGACACTTCCCTAGAAATGTAATGATAGATAACCTCTTCGATGCCTGCAGCTGGCCAAATGCATAATCTTTTGGTTTGCATTTTTAAGACTCAGGCACACTCTGAGGATATGCAGCAGGGTGATGTGTCTTTGCTTCAAAGCTTAACAGTTTTAGTGAGTTCACATTGCAGATCATCATTGTATAAGACTGCCCTTAAGACAAGACACATCTTATCTCTCAATATAGAGATTGCCACAAATTCCTTTTGCTTTTAAGTGTTTTAAATAGCTGAACAATGCCTTCTTAGCCAACATGTGTAGCTATTAAAAGGTGGGTTGGGTTGTGATCTAGACGTCATACTCACTGATGAAGTTTTGTGGGGAATAGCTCTCTTAACCAACCTCAAAATGGCACCTATTGGTTATTCACTCCTGTTAGGTTGTTAGGGTGGTGCCTGCCTGCTAGATCTAGGGCTTTTTCCGCAGCTCTCCTGGTTTGATGGAATAGTCTGCCTGAAGTTTCTAAGCAGTCTTCCACTGCCAAGATTCTACAAAGTATGCAAGGCAGAATAATTCAGGAGGGCTTTTGACGCCAAACTGATTTTTGATTATTTGTGTATGGTGGTCTTTTTAAAGAATCTGTAGTTGTATATTGTTTTTATTATTATTGTAACCCTTCTTAAGTACAGTTTTGGAGAAAGGTGGGGTAAAATATTGAAAGAGTGGTTTTTCCTTAAAGTCCAAGTGTCTTGCTGCTTAATGCTCCCATGTTATTTTCAGGTCAGCTAGTGGTGTGCACCCTTTGCTCCTGCGTCATGAAAACCAAACAGATCTGGCTCTTCTCTGCTCACATGCTCCCTCTGCTGGCTCGGCTTTGCCTTGTCCCTCTAGAAACTATTGTTATCATCAACAAATTTGCTATGATTTTTACTGGCTTGGAAGTTCTCTATTTTTTGGCATCTAATCTTCTGGTACCGTATAATCTTGCAAAATCTGCCTATAGAGAACTCGTACAGGTAAGTTACATTGAAATAAGCAATTGATTTTATTGATGTGTCTTGGTATACGTCTATCTGTCTGGAAATTGCAGGTAGCCATGTTTGTACACAGCAGCGATAAAATCATCAGTAGTGTATAGCAGTCATCAAGCTTTAGAGTTCAAAAGAAGTGTTCATCAAGCTGGATGTTAAATGAAAGAAGATTTGGGGGGGGGGATGGGGGGCAGTGGGAGTACCTGGGACTGCAGATTATAACATGATGGAACAGAACATGCACGTACGTGTAATTAGTTTAGACCATGCTAGCTGAAAGAAAAGAAGAAAAATACTGTTACACCAAAGCTTACTTGGAAAAATATATAATAGCAACAGTGTTTTAAAAACTGGAATTTATCCCTAGCTTGTGAACTTTTCCTAGAAGGAGTTTTCATTACACCCACAGAATGTACTGCAGTTATGTGTAAAACATTTCTAGAAAGTTCATACACTGGATGATTTCATTGTTGAGTGAGAGGGAGATCCCCTGGATCCAAAAGTTTATGGGGTCCATCGAAGTACTGGAGCTTTCCTGACATCCCCAGGTTATTCTTCTCTCTGTGGAGCCATATTCTGACAATACTGAAGGGTACAATGATGCAGCAGGGGAAAGATTGTACTTTGAACATTTTTAATATTGTTATGTTTGCTGTTGCATACATCCTTGTAGAATAATCTTTACTGTTATATCTGTTACTCTTCTGGCTTCTTATGGCTCTTACAGATTTGCTATATAGCATGGCAAGAGTCTGGGCTGGGAGCTAGGAAACCAAATCTCACCTCAGCCATGAGTTCATTAGGAGTCCTTAAGTAAAGCCCTGATCTCTCAATCTGAGCCACCGTATAAAATATGTGGAGCATAATGTAGTATTACATGTTTGCTGGAATGATGTGGTCTCAATGCCTTAAAGTCATGTAGAAATGCTCAGTATTCTTTTCATGCTGAACATCATGTGGAGCAAATCAAACTGTCTTTGGGAAGAAAGATTTAATAACAAGCAGCCAATACTGGACCAGGCTGCTAAGACCAGAAACTGTCTTCCCTAGGATATAGGTATGACAATTGTTGCATAGATACTGTCTGGCATAGCTGTGTTGCCTCCCTGTACTCACTCCTTTCTTCACTTCCTCCCATTCCTTCTCCTTTCTAATTGCATTTCCCACACACACATTATGCCCTCACCCCCCCCCATGGGGGCCAATTTTCAGGACAGTTGTTGCATCATGCTGCAATGGCTTCTGGGTAAAGTGGGGCGTGCTGTATTTGGTCTCTCCCCACATTGTATGAATCAGCCGTTACGCCTTGGAGAACCCATCTAATCATATATTCCTTCCTTTGCCCTTCACTAATCCAGACTGAGCCCAAGTTCCAGGTATCAGAGAACACAAACTTAGACCTATTTCTCGCCAAAAATATGCATATGGGAGAAAAGAGTCTAGCATAGGGTTGCCAAATGGGGCCGGGGGGGCGGGGAATCCCCCGCTTTGACGGCCCGATTTTTGACGCGACAAAAATTGGGCCCGGGGGAAACCCCACCCCCGTGTGTGCGTCACCCAGATGTGACGTCGCACGCTGGGGGCGGGCCACAGCCATTTAAGGGGAAAACTCTTATGTTTTCCCCTCAAATGGCTGTGGCCCTGCCCCCAGCGTGCGACGTCACATCCGGGTGACATGCACGCGGTGCGCGCGCGCACACCCCGGACGCCAGCCGGGAGCCCCCCGCTCCCGACCGAAAACAATTTGGCAACCCTAGTCTAGCACCACGACAATATATTCCTTCCATTTATATAAAATATATGCTGTGCCTTGCTGGGGGGAAAACCCGTTTATTTACTCAAGTCAGTTCACAAAAAGAACATTGTCACAAAAGCACAGCCCAGTACAGCTTTAAAACTGCAAAAATAGTAACAAATGCTTCATAAAATCAAAACATGGCTGTTTATCTCCAGAACCCAATGAGACATGGTTACAGGCAGAATTCCTTGTGGAGGGAATTTCAGAATGTTGGTGCAGCCACCAAGAAGGCCCTGCTAGAGTCAGCCACTTAACCTTGTCTCTCAGATAGGGGGAATGTGCCTCTCCAGAAGATGTCAGCAGGCTGTGTTCATAGGTCTAACTCATTTAAAGGCCGTGAAAATAATTTGTCTTCTCGGTGTTTCTGTATATAAGAAGTTAATGCTTACTAAGAAATGTCACACAACTTCAGCATAAAAAGAAAAAACTTCCAAATGAGATGGTGCTGCTCAGCCTTGGTTCTGCCACTTCATTATGCAAATTATGCCATTCAGTTATCGACGCTATCAACGATTTAGACAACATTTACAACCCGCTGTTTGAATAATAGCGAAACTAATAAAAAAACTGTGGTTAAGAATAGCACTATGTAATATATTAAAGTGGTATTATGTAAGGGAAACATAATTGCCACTAAGTTATTCCCTCCCCCCCATAGCATTTCAGGCAAGATGCCAGCAATCAGAGTGTAATTATAGCTCTGAATTGGTTTTGTGTTAAGATTCTAATCTAGTGTAATTTAGGGTTAGGACTGACCCCTACTAATAAGATGTTATAATCAGAATCTTGTTTCTTCTGCAATAAGAACAAAGATATATTGAGCAAAATGAATTGGAGAGCTTGTGCTTTAAACACTGCACTAAAGTCAAGGGTAGTGATATGTTTTCCCTGGTTTGCCGTATCTTGACAACATTTTATTTAATAAAGTTTTTTTGACTTTACGCTGTATTTTTGCTGTTGTTTATGAAGTTCCTTTCACTCAGTTTGACTTAGTTCAGTGTAACTCAGTATTTGGATCAGAAGTCTTCTCCAGGAGGTGACATTAACAGCATTTGAAATCCTTACACAAAGATCCATGATCCTTGGACCAGCCGACTGCTGAATCTGGCTGATCATCTTGTGTTGCTTTCTCAAGTTTGCACTACTGTTCCTTAGGAACTGGTTTAAAAGAAGCCCCACTCTTTTCACTTGAGTATTTTCAGCCTCTTGATTCTGAATGTATACTCTAGATAAGCAGCAGTTCCTGCCACGGCTCTCAAAAGGCCAAGCTGATGATCAGGCACGGATGCACTGTGCGAAGCTGCTTGCCTTTATTTCACACTTCCATTCTCAATAACATTTTGATCTCCCTTTGATTGTTTTCCAGTCTTCTGTAATTCCACAATCATCCATTATTAACACTTTTCACAGAATGTCACCGAGTTTAAAGGGGTTAAGGAGCCTCCCTTAAATAAATGGTGTGTGGCCTAACGCAGGGTGTGTGCTGCAGTGAGGCAAGACGTGGGGGGATGGGGTGATAAGTGCTACATTATAATACTGTAAATTAATTATCAGACTGACTGCCAGACTCACCTGGTGATATGTGCATTATGAACTTTTAATTAAACACCAGCAGCAACAAAGAGGAGGGGCAATGGTGATTCACGCTTATGACACCTGTTATTTTCTTTTAACTTTTACAAGCCTTTTGTCAGCAAGAAGGTAGCAAAAACAACTGGTATTTTTTAAAAAAACTTATTTCGGATTGTATTGTAAATACTATTGTAAATAGAGTTGCTGTAAATAGAGTATTGTAAATAGAGTTGCTGTTACTCCTCCCTTTTTGAGCTAAGAATGCAATTTTTTGTTGATTTTTGGAGAAGGGAAAAATCAGTCATCTGCTTTTGATCTGTGCAGGTGGTCGAGGTGTACGGCCTTCTGGCCTTGGGAATGTCACTGTGGAACCAGCTCGTGGTCCCCGTTCTCTTCATGGTCTTCTGGCTTGTATTGTTTGCTCTTCAGATCTACTCCTACTTCAGCACACGGGATCAGCCTGCCTCTAGGGAGAGGCTTCTCTTTCTCTTTTTAACAAGGTATTTAACACTTTTCTGTAACTGGCAATTGCCAAAGTGTATTCCTTGTGCTCTTGAATAAATCTGCTTCCTTCAAACAAAAAGGGAAATCAGCCACATATGCCATATTAAATGCTGTATGCATGATTGGGAGGGGCATCTCATGTATAGCATAACAAACAACATAAGTTATATGTGCCTGATTTTTTACAGTCTTTCAGTCACAGCTTTGAGGTGGAAGGATTGCAGTATGTGTGACATTGTGTGCAGTGATGTAGTGGTTAAGTGCACAGACTCTAATCTGGGAGAACCAGGTTTGATTCCCCACTCCTCCACTCGCAGCTGCCGGATGATCTTGGGCAAGCCATAGTTCTGTCAAAGCTGTTCTTGAAAACATTAGTTCTCAGTAAAGCTCTCTCAGCACCACCCATCTCACAGGGTGTCTGTTGTGGGGAAGGGAAAGGAGTTTGTAAGCCGCTCTGAGACTCCGAATGGAGAGCGGGGTATAAATCCAATCTCCTCCTCCTCCTCCTCCTCCTCCTCCTCCTTCTTCTTCCCTGTGTTACATATTGCATTGTATGTGTGGTATGGTAAGAGGGCATATAGAATTTCCAGGGTGATACAGGGGTGAACTGGCCTATGTCTCATTCTGTTCTCTTGGCATTCAAATGGAAAGGCTGCTACCTGTTGCCACAGCATGAGAAATAAGCATTGTGGCATCTTCCTTGAGGGGCGGGGTGGATATTATCAACCTTTTTTGTTTTTGTTTTTTTGTTATTTTTGCAAATTTATGTATGCATTTTAATTTTTCTGGTGTATGCTGCTTTGAGTACCATTTTAATGATAAAAAGGCAGGGCATTAATCTCTATTTGGGGTACTCATATCCTGCCTTTCTACCATTAAAATAACCAAAAGAGTCTTTTAAGCGAGTGGCTGAGGGATTTTTTTCCATGTCAGGAAAAACACTGGCTCATGAATACAATCTTTCCCAGTAGAAGTATTATGCTGTAGTGCATTCAATTCTTCCAGTATTTTGGTTTTTCAGAAACGGTTACAATTTTATGTGCATCTTTTTAAAAATGTGCTACTTCCAATCTAGCAGAAAACTTCATGATTAGAGGGGGGTTTTCAAGTTGTTTTTGTTTTGTTTTGAAAGGCAGTCCTCAAAAGTTGAGAGTATTATAGAATGGAGACTGTAGTTAATGCAACACAATAATCAGTCTTGTTTCCCCTTTAACATTTTGACACGTTTGTGCTGCTGAATTTCCTCCTCGTGATTATATTGGACTTGTGTAAACAATAACATGGAGGAAGGAGTGGGCAAACAAGCTTTAAATGTAAATCGGTACATGGGATTGCAGGGTTACACAGCTAAAGAGGCCAGACCTCTCACAATGGTGTGATAGCTTCCTTTTATAGAACTACATTAGAGTTGGGCATACCAGTTTTAGGGCTCGTGCACCACTGCAATTGAGTAAGAAAAATGCCCTATTTACATCCACACACATCCACTCTTGGGTTTCATTTTTTTGTATCTATCATATATACAAATGGGAGCTGACATAGCAAACCCACCTGCTCTATTTTGCATCTTTATGGAGTGTCTAGGTTAAAATGTTAATTAGCAAATGGAAAGCATTCTTTTTTTTTGGTCACTGAAGAGTGATCTCTTATTTAAATGCAAGGAGATCAGTGCCCCCAGATGGTTTGATCTTGCTAGTGCATGGTGGTGGAGCCCAACTTAGTGAACCCAGCTGATACATGCTGAATTTATATTTACAAGATTTTTTTCAAAGTCTAGAATCCCATTGGATGAATTTACTTTGGATAAACGTACTGTTGCTGGTATCTGTAGAACCTGATGAGAACCTTCATACAGATGTTTCAGCTGAAGCTCATCAGTGAAGCCATCTTCATTCATTTTATCTAGCTTTGAATTCAACGCTTGTCCAGAGCTCTAATTCAGCTGTTTTGTCTCATTCTTAGTATTGCAGAATGCTGTAGTACTCCCTATTCTCTCCTGGGCTTGGTGTTTACAGTCTCCTTTGTTGCTCTGGGAGTTCTAACCCTCTGCAAGTTTTACCTGCAAGGCTACCGAGCATTCATGAATGACCCTGCTATGAATAGGTAAGTGGGCAGTGGAAAGTGTCTAACGGTACCCCTGGTGCAAGCCAGTTGTACCAAACTGAAGCAGATGATGAACATTAAGAAGACCATAAAAGCATTGAACCCATGTGTGCAAATTCTTGGTTGGACCTTCCTATCCAAGTGTAATAGGTCTTGGAATTTGACACTGAAACACAGGCTGCCATGAATCTCTTTAGTTATTGCTTTTGTTAAAAAGCACATTAGCTATTACATTGTTTGGATTCATTATCCAAATATTTTCTTCAGTGTCCCAAATGCAGATACATATTCTTTCCTCCTCCTTTCCATTTGTGCCTTAGGACTTCTTGAGTTGTTAATTTTCTGTGATCAATTTTTGCTAGCTTTTTGGAATGTCCGCTGTTTAAGGCTTTACCTCTTTTCCACACGTGCCACTTTTATATTCCTTGCCTTTTCAAAACCTTTTCCAAAACTATTTCAACCAAGACTTGCTTACAATATTTCTCCTCTTTGTCCTTTCTTCTTCATTCTATCTTGATCAAGTTTGGTGAATATGCATCTGCGTTTGCTAGCCATCATATTACGTACACGTGAGGGTTGCATCTAATGATGCATGAGCAGAAAGGCAAACATATTTAGCACAGTTCCACTTGCACAAGCAATACCACAAGGGGCTGAAGCAACACATAGTGCTTCAATATAATGGAATGTAGAACAGATGGATTGCAAGATTTTACTTAATTTGTTTCATTGTTGTTTTTTAAATGCCTTCTGCTATGTCTTCCACACGTGAAAAAGATAGGATACATTCACTTTTACTTAGCATATGCCAGAAGAAATAATTTCATTTCAAGATGTTTAAGTAGCAGGGAGAGGCAGCTGAAAACAATTTCCTTTTCTTACAGTGGTCTGGCATAAAATAGGAATTTATGCCCTGACCTGGATAGCCCAGGCAAGCCTGATCTCGTTAGATATCAAAAGCTAAGCAGGGCTGACCCTGGCAAGTGCTGGGAAGGGCGACCTCCAAGGGATACCAGAATCGGGACAGGTGTAACATAAGCCACCCCTCTGAAACATCCTAGCCCCACTAGAGGTCTCTAGAAGTCACCATGACTTTCAGGCTTGCAAGCACATACACACGCATGCACACACAAAATACTCACCCAAAAAAATAGGAATTTATTTGGTTAATACATGTGATTTCTGGAGAGTGCTGAAAAAATGTTTCAAGCCAGAAATAGCAAAAATGAGCCAAGGATGGACGAGTTCAGGAACATTTCAGGCAAAGATAATGTAGGAACAAACATTCCATTACAAATGACTTCAGGACACTAGCATGTGTAAAGTGTTATTTTCCCCACAATCTTTATTGGGGTTTTGCAATTGGTAGCTTGTGGGCAGCATGTGGTTTGACAAAGGCCACCAGCTCGAATTATGTGCCAACATTTTGATACCAAAAATTGTGGGGTGATGGCTGTTTTTTACTTATGCAATGTTAAAACTGAATCAAGGCAATTAATGATGAAAATTTTATTCTTCCTTTGTGTGTTTTCACAATGCCAAGAGGGATGACGGAAGGAGTCACACTTTTGATCCTGGCCGTGCAGACTGGCTTGATAGAGCTGCAAGTTGTCCATCGGGCCTTCCTTCTCAGTATTATCCTCTTCATTGTGGTTGCATCCATCCTGCAGTCAATGCTGGAGATCGCTGATCCCATTGTTCTAGCTTTGGGAGCTTCAAGGGACAAGTGAGGTTTTCTTTTGTATTTTCTAATGGTGACGGCTATTCCCCCCCCCCCAGTTCTTCTGTTGATCACAAAGCTGTGGACTATAAATTGCGTGGGGGGGGGGCAAGTTGAAAAGATGAAATAATATAGGTTGATAGCTAGTGGATACTGATCAAACAGGATGAAAGGACAGTAAAATAGATTGGGGGGAAGTACCTTATAAATGTAAGGACTAGGATTCTAGAATTGTTTATCATCAGGTGTTAAGAATCTTGTATGCAATCCAAACAACACCTTCAAATGCTCATACTCATATTTTGCCCCCCTTTGCAGCCCCCTGTGCTTTCTAGACAAGTCACTACAGGTAATCCTAATCAATCATGTACACAGTAAAACAAAAAGAGCCTATACACAGAATGCTAGATATCCAGAATAGAAGGATTTTAGCCTAACAGGCAAGTTTTCTGGGAACAGGGTTAATTTCCAACCATGGAACCTCTTCGTCCTCATAACTCAGGAGTGATTTCTATAATGTGATGAGGTATTTTGCTAAAGACCCTCTCAGCAGCGGCTCCCCAGGTCTCACTAATCCAAGCAGGTGGCTCCTTTGAGAATCGTGGGAGGCAGAAGCTATGCTGTTTTGGACAGAGTTCACCCCTTTTGGATCATAACTCTCTTAAGTCTGTTGCTGGCTTGTTCTTGTTAGACAGGTCTTGCTAATTTTGCAGGCGTTTGTGTGAGGAATTTACAAAATGTCCTGGTGAGAAGTTGTGTAATGTACCTTTCCTGTCTTCTGTGCTTACTTGCTTTGCTATAACCTGCAACTCTTGTAAGTAAGAGTAGGTTTATTTATATCCTCTACGTCTGTTTTGCTTAGAGGTTACTTGTGGCTGGTACAGGCTGTCTGCAACGTGTTAATGCTAAATTTATTAGCACAGGGGAAAGAGAGAAGCAGAGCTGCAAAGAGTGTAGCTAGCTCCTATAAATTGGCCCTGGTGGCAGTAGACCGTAATTCAACTCTGCCAAGTTCAGACTAGAATATCGGGAAAACAATAGATGGTGTTGGGCTATTTAAAAAAAAAATTTAAGATCCCCGACATTGTGCCTTGATATTTCCTTGAATGATTGATTCCAGCATTTGAGTTCTTTAGCCTGATGCTGAAGTTTCCTTTTTCCACAGGTTCTGTGCATATTTCATCTGCATGTATTACCAAGGATAAATAACCACTTCAACGGAATGGTATATGCACAGTATTTAATTAATCGGCGTCAGCTGATTTAGGTTATGAGTAAGAAGCAAGATGACATAGCTTTTGTTGTTGTTCAGTCACACAGTTGAGTCCGACTCTTCATGACCCCATGGACCAGATCACGCCAGGTCTTCCTGTCTTCTGCCTTCCTCTGAAGTTTGCTCAATTTCATGTTCGTTGCATCTATGACACTGTCTAACCATCTCATCCTTTGCCGTCCCCGTCTTCTTTGACCTTCAGTCTTTACACAGTCGAGTCCGACTCTTCACGACCCCATGGACCAGCTCCCGCCAGGCCCTTCTGTCTTCCGCCGTCCTCTGAAGTTTGCTCAATTTCATGTTCGTTGCATCTATGACACTGTCTAACCATCTCATCCTTTGCCGTCCCCGTCTTCTTTGACCTTCAGTCTTTCCCAGCATCAGGGTCTTCTCCAGTGAGTGCTCCCTTCTCATTTGGTGGCCAAAGTAT